TTCATAGTTGGAGAGTTCTTCAAGAATATCCTACAACAAATAAAATTTTATTTTCTTCAATTTTTTGTTTTAGGTAACAAAACTTCCAATTTTATTAGTAGGAACAACTTGGTTAGAGATCTATATGAATCTATGTGCATTTTTTAAATCATATACCCAGTTTTTTATGGAAAAAGAATATGTACCGGGGCAAAAGTGATGGGAGGTAGCTTGTTTTTGCCAAAAGAAAAAAGGAAAGAAATGAGATATTTTATTTTAGTACTAATACATGAACATGTACAAATGTTATTGAGCTAATGAAAATGAATATCAAAGATATATATATATATATATATATATATAGCATTCTTCTTCCATTTTTCATATTCCAAATGAGGATGCCAAATGCATTACTCCCATTGCTATTGAAGGCAGTAATGCATTATCTAACCCTAACTAAACAAAAAGATGAAGATTCTGGTAAGTCACAAGACATACCTTGTAACAATGAGCCATCACATAATTTAAGAAAAATAAATGTTAGAAAACTTTGTAGACATTGAACTATCACATAATTTAAAAATACTATTAATAATATTTTTTTAAAAAAATTTAAATAGTATAAAAATGCATTGAAATAATTAATTTTTTTTTATACATTTTTATAAGTAGTATAGATAGATAATAATATTATATTGAAAATATAAGTGACTATGAAACTGAAGTTGGGTTGACATCTGTTTTAAAAACAAAAATAGTAGTCTCTTTTTTTCTTGGCATTTTTATTTTTTCTTTTTTTCTTTTTTTTTTTGTGTATATTTTATTTTATTTTAAAACAAAAATGGTAATTTATTTTTCCTTTTACATTTTTTTTCTTTTTTGTTTTAACCTTTTTGGAGGCATTATAAACCATTATATATAGTTGATATATATGTTAATAAATTTTCTAAATTTAAAATAAAAAAATTTGGAAATAGAGAAAATTTCTGAAGTTGGGTGGACGTGTGTTTTAAAAAAAAAAAATTGTACAATTTGTTCTTTCCCTTTTACGTTTTATTTTTCTTTTTGTTGTATGTGTTTTTTTTTTTTTTTTTTTTGGAATAATGTGAATTAGGCTCTAGAATTTTTTGGGAGGAAATTTTTGGGAAGGAACGGGTTTGTTTTTAAATAGTGGGGGGTTTGTTTTTAAATAGTGGAAATATAATAATTTTTTTTCCTTGTAAGTTTTTTTAATTAATTTGATTTAAAAATACTTTTAATATCCTTTTAATATAAAAATTATGGTTTAAATATATACATGTTGAAGAATCTGAACAATCAAATAGAGTGGATTAAAAAACATGTTCTTTTGGTATTCCTCAACTTTTTTCATAAAATATTTGGTCATATATAATATATATACATTTATATATCATTATCTATACTATTAATGAGGCATGAATTATTATGCTTTAATGAATTTTTTTTTTGTGGGCAAAAAAAATTAAAGAAATTTCTTACACTTTTAGAATTAGTGGGAATATTATAATTTTTTTTTTATTTCAAGTTTTTTTCCTTTTTTACACTAATATGAATAATCAAAATTATAATTAATTTGAGTTAAAAATACTTTTATTATCCTTTTAATATAAAAATTATGGTTTAAATATATACATATATAAAAAGAGGTTGAAGAATCTAAACAATCAAATAGTGTAATTAATCGGATTAAAAAACATGATCTTTTGGTCTTTCTCAACTTTTTCTATAAAATATTAGGTCATATATAATATATACATTTATATATCCTTATCTATTTCTCAAGAGTATTCAAGTGTTGTATTTACATATAATAAAAATAAAATTAAAAAAAAATTATAACTTTATATGGAGAGATCCTACAAAAAGAAAAATAAATTCTTAAACTATCACAAGCTGAAGAAATCCAATATTACCAACTTAACCATAACTTTAAACTAATTTATAGATAAAAAATACTCTAAACTCCGATATTTTGTTCACAATTCATCCTCATCACAAAAGAATCGGCAATTGTGTCATACAAAAGCCTTGCATTGTGGAGTAACCCAATTTTTCATACAAAAGCCTTGCATTGTGGAGTAACCCAATTTTTGTTTGCCATTTATATCACTGTAAATAAGGATCTCCACTTGCTCGCATCTACAAAATCAATTAAAAATCTTCTTATTCCAAAACACCTAAATTTCGAATTAACAAATTTTGTACAAAAATTCAGCATGTGTACATGTATATACCTACCCCTGTGATCTTTACTTCATAAAAATTATTGACAATAATATCTTAATAAAATATATTGTGTCGCATCTGTGCGCCCTATATATACACACATACACATGCATACATAGATATCTATATTATAGAAGAAAAATAAAAAAAAATTGGTGAAAGTAAGTTTATGGTTTCCTTACCAAAATAAAGTTGACAATAACATCTTCGTAGAATATCTTATGTCGTATTTGTGCACCCCTATATACACACACATACACAAAGATAACATAGACATGTATACATAGATATCTACATAATATGGAAGAAAAATAAAATAAATACAAAGATAACATAGACATATATCTACATAATATATAAAGAAAAAAATTTAAAAAAAAAAAAAAATTTGGTGGAAGTAAGCTTACGATTTCATTACCAAAACAAAGTTTTTCTCATAGCCAAGACTTTCTCAAATAATATCTTTTACTTCTTTATAAAAGTAAGAGTAGCAAAAAAATAATAATTATGGAAGTGAGAAATTCAAATGGAAAATGAGAGCAAAGATATTCTTATGCATGTATGTGTAACACAATTTATTAAAATTAAATAGAAAGATGGAAAGTCAATGTAACACAATTTATTAAAATTAAATAGAAAGATGGAAAGTCAAGAGTTGTAACTCTTGAAATAAATACAAGATATTTTTTTTTATTTGAAATAAATAAAAATGTATAAATGTTATATACATAGAGAGAGAAAGATATTAAAATGTATTAATTCTTGATTTTAATAAATATAAAATAGACTTGTGATTTAGGAAAAAAAAATTTAATAAAGGTAATTTAGTTTTTAAAAGTATTACCTTTTTGTTTTAATTCATGTAAAATGAATCTTAATTAATGAAAATGTATCTAAATAATTGTAGAAAAAATGCTTACATATAAGTAGTATTAATGCTAGATGAGGCAACTCAAACGACATTACTGTTGAATGATTAAAAGATTTAATGTAAAGTATTTAATAAAATTATTTTGTATTTTTTTAAAATCTAAAAATGTTAAGAAATTCCTTACACTTTTAGAATAGTACTAGCAAAAGAGCACGTGTAGATGCACGTGGTGTAAATTCAAGTTATTAATAAGATTATAATAAATTTTTAAAAAAAAATTATTTGATCAGTGATTAAATTGATAAACTATAATTTATTTGATTTGATACTTTTCAATGTGAAGCAAAGAACATGAAAATATATATTCATATGTCATTTATATCACAAATGAGCTTCTATTTTTAATTTGTGTTTTTGTTACTTGTATTAAATATTTTTCTAGTTTTATCACACTTCTATTTATAATCATTCTATGTAGAGATCTCTCGCGTTTAAATATTTTAAATGATCATCATGCACCAAAAGATATCTTGTTTCTCGAAATAAACAAACTTTCAAAAAATAAATACAATGGAGGAAGAAAAAAGAAAAAATAGCAATCCAAAACTCACAAAAATAAGTTGATATACAAATACCATCTAAATTTTTTCAAGAAACGACCAATGAAGATTAAGCAAAAATGTTTTAAAAATTGAATTAACTAAACAATTGAAGGCTTTGGATAACATGAACAACTAAACTCAAGTCATCATTAAAAAAATACGACAAAATACTCATATTCAAATAAGTACTTCAACATGAGTACAAGAAAACTCAATAATTGTTAATTTGTTGAACGAAACATAATAATTATTTTATCATCACTAGGCCTAATATTAAAACAATTTAATATGAATTCATCACTATGAGTTAAACTGAGTAGATGATTCAAAACAAGCAAATAACTTAACCAAGCTAATTGATACTCCTGATGTCGCACATGAATTATCATTCTCACTACCGAAGCTAATTGATGAAATATGCTCCTTGATACTTTTTCTTCTTGTGATCCTTACTTGTAATACTCTTGTTAACATCTAATCTTGATGCTCACTCAATATTGGAGCTTGATCTTGTAATTTTTACCTCTATTTATATAATAGATTTTTAAGTTATTGTTCAAAATTTTAAGAGACATCAAATACTATTAAAGTTTGGAAATTTCAAGAATTACAAAAGTTTTGCATTAAACATAAAAATAATAAAATTTTAATAAAATTTAAGGTTAAAAATTCCAAGAGTGTGTACACATTTTGTAGTCCACTTTTAATGACATTTTTTTAGATTGAAAATCCCAAAGGTTATCGACCATAAAAATATGAAATGAAATTCAAGTACAATGTCCATTAATACTTTTTAATGAAATTGGATTTAATTTAAAGTGAAAAAAAAAAAAAAAAGAGTTAAGAAATACTTGGTTGAGATTTTAAGTATCAAAATAAAAATAATACAGTTTTAATAAAATTTAAGGTTAAAAATTCCAAGGGTACCATTTCATTTTTAATCAGATTAAAAACATGTTTTTTTGGTTTTCCTCAACTTTTTTCATAAAATATTAGGTCATTTATACTATATATACACATTTATAATCAACGCTTCTATTGAAGCGCTGGTGTTGGTGAGTACCAGCGCTTTAAGAGAAAGCGCTGTTATAGGTTTTACAGTACCAGCGCTTTAAGAAAAAGCAATGGTAATGATGTTACAGTACTGGCACTTTAAGGAAAAGCGCTGGTATAGGACCCTTCCATTCCCTCCAATTTTTTCTCTTTCCCTCCACTTTTTCCCTCCGCTTATTTATGTATGTAGAATATTACATTTCTAAACTGCGTCGTTTTCTTTTGTTCCATTAAAACACTATATTCCACTTTCCCATTTCAATTTGATTTAGCCTTTTCTTCCTCTCTGCTATCTCGATCTGCTCCGTCTCGATCTCTCACGCTCGGTCTCCATTACTTTAGCTCATCGTAGGCTCTCTCTCTCTCCCATCCCTCTCTCTCCACCACCATTTCTCAGCTGAAGCACTTCTTCCACCTGCGTTTCAGAGTACCTCAATTTCATATTCTCTCTCTTCCCCTCACGGATCCTACTCATCCTCTCTCTCTTGGTGGTAAGTACCCCCTTTCTCTTGAAGCTTTCTCTTTGTCGATATTATATATATATATATATATATATATATATATATATATATATATTTAGGGAAATCTCCATAACTAAAATAATCTTTATGTTTTTCTGATTTTTGGTTTATGATTCTTATTATGGTTCTGATTGAAATATTTTTTTCAGTCTATTATATCCATTGACTTCAAAGCCTCGATTGCGATCGTTCCACATTTCAGGTAGATCTATCTATTTTCGTAGCTTTTACAAATTGGGTTTCCAGATTTTAGTTGTTTTGCGTTGCTGGGAAAATTATTGTTCCTAGTTTCGTCAATAAAATTATCAATCAAAATCCAGGTCGAGGTTGGAGGATTTGGATCTTTGATTTCAACCGCTGAATTCAAAAAAGGTTCAAAATTTATTCATATCTATTTGTAATTCGCATCCATATATATATACATGCAAATTTTTTTAGGGTTTATTAATTTTATATTCTGTGTATAAAATTTTTTCCCCTCTTCAGACATGCGTTGATGAATATATGCTGAAGTTTCATGCTTTTCTGGGTTATACTTATTCATTATATTATATTTATCCATAAAGAGTCCTTATTATATGCTATTCACTAAAATTACAACAAAAGTGGATCACTTTTTGTGTCATTACTTTTCTACAAAACTTTGTATAGGAAAATATCTCAATTCATTAAGAAATTGAATATTTTTGTGCAAGAGAGAAAGGATGAAGATCGATTAATGGGAGTATAAAAGGATGAAGATCGATTAATGGGAGTATAACGACAAAGTTGATTCTACTTACCTTGAATTGATCTCCAACTTTCCAAGTCCACTGCACTCCAAATTCATTAATTATACTTTAACTATAAAAGAAATTATTTTCAAAATGAATATGATTAGGCTCAACAATATCTCATATCCTTTAGATACATTAAAGTAACAACCAATGAAATATAAAAGTTTTTAAATACGTTCATTACTTAGGGTAGGTTTTGAAGTTACGTAGTGGTAGCCGACGGAAAGTATAACTTAGGTTTTCTATGAGCCGATTAGGATTCATTGTAGGGTTTGGATTGAATTTAGGTTTTGTATAAACCTATAAAAATACATAATAAGGTTCTACCTAGGGTTTTTAGAATCCAAACACGTCTGTGGAGGCAGAGAGAGAGAGCAGAGGAAGGTTTCCAGTAGTCGGAGTTCGCCGGAGAATTTAGGAAGCGACGGTGTAAGTTTTCAAACTGAGACCTAAAGGCAAGTTCTAATCCTATCTCTTTTCCTTTGGCTTGTGTTCTTTATATGTCTAATACAACTCCAGGAATAATATAAGGATTAAAATTAAACTGAATTTTTCCATGCCTCTGTTGTGTTAAAACTATCGATATTGGTAAATTATATACTGTTGGTTAGACGTTTTCTTGTATATCATATAATTGCATTCATGTTAATTAATAAATAAAGGGGTCTAATCAGTTCTGGAACACCTTGGGATAACATTAAATTGAATATGGTTCGCGTGGGTGATCACCTGAACAATACGTTCAGGATGGGGAAATTATTCCAGTTTAAATTCTTTGTGGTATAATTCATGATTAATTAGTATCGTTGATTGAATAAGGAATTTAAATGGCTTTTGAGCGTACTGGAATCTAATTAAAACACTTAGGAACCCTAGGGATGAAGGTTAGTTCATCAGAAACTCACCGGAGTTGGAAACGATGAAGAACAGGAAGAGAAACGGCTCACAGGTTGAAGGAGCACGCTCTTGGAGCCAAAGAACAGGCTCTACTTTAAGTAGAGCCGGCTCTAAGGGTCTTGGAGCAGACTCTTCTTTTAGTAGAGCTGGCTCCAAGATGGGAAGAGCAGGCTCTTCTTTTAGTAGAGCCGGCTCCAAGATGGGAAGAGCAGTCTCTTCTTTTGGTAGAGTAGGCTCTTCCCTCGGGTGTGCGTTTTTCAGTTTTTCTGCGATTATGTTGGCTACAGAACTTGGATTTTGGAATTTTCAATTTCTGTTGGAAGCTATATTGAGGTGTTTGGAGGTGGTCTAAGCTTGATTAAAATCCCTAAGAGAAGATTTATGTAAAATAGAGCAACTTTGTTTAATGCAACGGTAAGCAAAGGCTAAGTAAATCAATTTATTTTTCTGGATGGAAGGATTTCGAATTGCTTAAAGTTTAGGATAGCAATTCTTAGTAATAAAATTTACAGTTAAATCTATCCCAGTGTTATAAAAATAAGCATGTGGATATATATAATATAGTATGCTTATTTGGAGCATAGTTGGTTTACGGTTTCCGGAAAGAAAGGATTTTATGTTGCTTACTTTTATGATAGCAATTCTCATGGATGATTTGTTTTAAATTAAGTTCCAGTGTTATAAAAATAAGCCTGTGAACATTTATATTCTGTTATGGTTGTTTTGAAATAATTGGTTTACATATATGACTTGTAGAGTCAATTATTGGATTTTGCGGAGTAGTATCGAATAAGCCTGTTAATCTACAAAATGTTATCATGCTTAATATGGAACAATTGATGTTTATACTTAATGTTTTATTATCAATTGTAGATTGTATAAATTAGTTGAAAGTTATAATTTTTTTTTATTCTATCAACTTCTGGACGGATGGATTGTATGCACCGATATGGGACGGTGACATACCAAGAATGGTATAGTTTCAAAATACTAAATCCAACCTGTATTGGAATAAGGGAATGGATTATAAATAAATCCTACTTATATTTATGTTAAGTCAAAGAAGTTGCACAAGCTGAATGACTAGCTAGATTACTTGTTATCTATGTTGAGTCAAAGAAGCTGCACAAGCTGAATGGCCGACTGGACTTCTTATGAATGGATATGATAGGATTTTAAATATATTTGTATGATACCATGATATAAGCCTGAGTCTCAGAGTCGTTGGTTATGGAGCATATATGTATTGGGATGCATAGCTGGCTATGATGGTTGGATGTGTACCCTACTAGGTCTAGGTAGTCATGCCCACCTCAAGTGCGCTTTGCATGGTGCCTACTAGTCAGGTTGAGACGGGCCTGTAGTCAAGCGAAAGTCCTGTAGTGTGAATATATATATATATATATTTACGGACTATTTAGTTATTGTTGAGTTGGTTAGAATATATATGCGTATCGAATCTCTGCTTGAATTGCAGTAGGATAGAACTTGTTCGTGGGCCTGACCCACTCACATTTTTTAGGTGTACGTCAGTTCCAGGCTTGAGCTTGTTCGTGCTGAGCAGAGACGGTCACTCATTCTTCCGACGACGTAAGATCTCTCTTCATAACTTAGTTATGGATTCCTTTTAGATTTGCAGTTCAATTTGAGATTTTTCTTATTAGGGGTCCACTAGATGGATTTCTGAGTTGTATCCTTGGAGGTTTTGGAGTTGGATTATTTGATCTTTACGATGTTGAGGAATTTCAGTATTTAATTTTAAAGGATTTTATATTTTAGATTTCTTTCAGCTTTTAAATTTTATTTCGTAATTCAATTTGTGTTCCGTGTTCGTTTTAAAATATTAATTGTTTAATATTACCTCAGATTTGGGCCTGGGCCTGATCAACCCGTATCTCGGATCCGAGGGGTATCACAGAAGGTAAGAACGAACTCCGAGGACGGAATTCCTTTTATTAAGGGGGAAGAATGTAATACTTCTAATTTTAAAAGGATAATCTTGAAATTTATTTAATTGTTGAATTGCGTTTTAATTTATTAATTATGCATTATTTAAATTACTTGTGTTATGTAGTTTTTGTTTTTATGTTATTTAATTAATTATTTAATCTCATGTTTATTTAATTGGATTTTATTTATTTTAATGGTTTATTAAATTAGATTTTATTTTATTTTAAATGGAGTTTTAATTTATTAATTGTGCATTATTTAAATTACTTGTGTTATGTGGTTTTTCTTTTATGTTATTTGATTAATTATTTAATCTCATGTTTATTTAATTGGATTTTATTTATTTTAGTGGTTTATTAAATTAGATTTTATTTTATTTTAAATGGACTAAAAGTTAAATACGTGAGTTGGTTTACATTATGTTTGGTTAATGTGTAATTTAGGTTTTAGTTTTTCGGATTAACATGGAGGCCGACTAGAATATAACTTAGGGTTTTTAAGATTTCTTTCTAGGAGGATTAGGGTTTTGGAGATGCCTATATATATATATGTATAAGATGTTCTGTCTAGGGTTTACACATAAACCACGAACAGAGAGTTGTGAGAGACAGAAAAACAGAGAGTGAACTTGAGTGATTTACAGAGAGGCTCAAGGAGGAAAGAGTGGAGTGCTTCTGGGTTGAACCATGAGCACCGGAGGTGTTGAACGGTAGCCTAGGTCGTTGACAGAAAACTCAGAGACGGAGGTTTAAGATTTCTGGACTGAAATCAAATGCAAGTTTCTGTTCTTCTCTTTCCCTTTAATCTGTGTTCTGTACATGCCTAGCTAGACTCCAGGGGTTTAATTAATGCTAAAATTGAATAATTATGCATGCTTAATTGGACTAAAACAGAGGGTGTGTGATTTTAGTTTCATATTCTTATTTTGAATGATGTTGGAATTTTTTATGCATAATTGTTGTTTAAATTAAATCTTTGCCTATTAAAACACTTAAAATTTTTAGTATGGACGTCTGGAACATAGGTTGAAGCTTAGAGGCCTTAATAATAAAGTTTTAGGGTTTACAAAGGCTGAATAGACGAAGAAGACGACTTCAGCAACAACTCAGCCGACTAAGTTGGCAACTCAGCCTACTTAGTTGACAACTCAGCCGACTAAGTTGGAAACTCAGCCAGCTAAGTTGGCAATTCAGCTTGCTCAGTTAGACCGCGACCTGGATTTTAATTTTAATTACCCAGAATTATTTTGAAACCTATTCTAATTAATCTAAATGGGTTAAATGGACCTTGGAAGGTTCTAGAATGCATAATACACTTCTTATGCTTAAGGAATTGGACAATACAGATTTGTAAATAATTTTTATAAATTATTTCAGGGATGGTTAGTTATTTAATTGTTTAACAGTTGTATTATATGTTTAAATGTTTTTATTCATGATTAGGAGTGTATACAATTTATCTGAGATGTAGGTTAATTTCGTGAACTGTAAGCTAACCTACGTGCTATTTAAATTGTTATAGTTGCTTAAGTAAAGGCAAATGGTTATGCGTATGATTTATATCATGCTAGGTATGGGTTAATTGGTGTATTATTTATTTGTGCATCACTTAGTATGGATTGTATGGTTTAAGGCTGTATCATATTATTTCTGGATTAATTGATGTGTTATATTTTTGTTACATCATTTGTTGGACTAGATGGATTAATGCACCGGTATGGGACGGTAGTATTCTAGGGACGGATTAACCAAAGAAGTTAAATCCTACCTAATTCGGATTAAGGTATGGATTAACCATATAGGTTAAGACCATTTCCTACTTGTGTCATATCAAAAAAATAATTGAATGACCTTCTGTGGTTTCAGGATGGATTTGTTATACATATATCAGACCACTATACAGATGGATGATATTTTGTATTAGGAGAATGGACTTTATATATTTATTATATGGTACTATGGTATGAACTTGAGTCTCAAAACCATGGTTAGGGCGCGTATATTGCCTAGAATGGATAATTGGACATATGTATTGTTCCCTGGTATGGATTAACCATATAGGTTAAGACCATTTCCTACTTGTGTCTTATCAATAATATAATTGAATGACCTTCTGTGGTTTCAGGATGGATTTGTTATACATATATCAGACCACTATACAGATGGATGATATTTTGTATTAGGAGTATGGACTTTATATATTTATTATATGGTACCATAGTATGAGCTTGAGTCTCAGAACCATAGTTAGAGTGCGTATATTGCCTAAGATGGATAACTGGACGTAGGTTTTGTTCCCTGGTAGGTCTAGGTACTCATGACCACATTATGTGCGATTTGCATGGTATCTCTACTCAAGCTGAGATAGACCTACTGGACTAGCGAGCATCCTATAGTGTGTACTATATATATACATATATGGACTACTCTAGATATTGTTGGGTTATCTAAGATGTATCTGCGTATCGGATTACTGTTTGGATCGTAATAGAATAGGACTTGCATGTGGGTCTGACCCACTCTTATTTTTCAAGTGTTCGTCAGTTCTAAGGTTAGAGCTTGGATGTGCAGAGCAGATACAGACATTCATTCCTCCGACTACAGAGGAGTCCTTCCTATGTTTAGCTTTAGATTCTATTTCAGATGTTGTAGTTTCTTTTGGGATTGTTAATAAGGGGTCCACTGGATGGATTCCCGAATTGTTAAACTTATGGAGTTTTGGATTATCGGATTTTAACAATTACATTATAAGGATTTTATTTTTAGTTTTTTTCAGCTTATTATTTTATTTCATATTTCATTTTGTATTCTGTGTTCGTTAAAATATTAATTGTTTGATATTCCCTCGGGGTTGGGCCTGGGCCTGATCAACCCGTGTCTCAGATCCGAGGGGTATCATACATGGTTCAAGTTGAAACCTTAGAAGGAATCTATAGCAAGAAGGAAGGAGGAAGAAGATGGTGGCCGAAATAAAAGGAACTGCCGAGAACAACATGGGACACTTGGCAGCATCGGATTAGGCCAAATGGAAGTTGTTGTAGTCGCCACATCTGAGTTGCTGCATGCAAGGAAGTCTATAAATAGTGCACTAAGGATTAACTTGCAAACTCTGCCTGCTCAACCCAAACAACACATCAATACAGCATCTTTGCTACCTTTCATTTCCGCAATGAATTTACATTGTGTCTAAACCTAGCACCTTGCTAGTTCATGTATTTCCATTCCAACAATGAATTTACATTTCTTTTAAGTTGAGTTCAACACTTTGCTATTCCATATAGTATTCATTTCAGCAATGAATTCTCATAATGCTTGAGTTAAGCCCAGCACTCTTTCCATTTCTTCTAGCTAAGAACTGCATTTCCATGTCTCTAAATTTCCAGTCATGCACTTCAATTATCTTAATTTCCAGTCTTGCACTTTAAATTACTTTAATTACTAGCCTTGCAACTTCAATAGTACCGTCTTCATTTCCATTAACCATAGAATAGTTTGAAGTCCTTGTTCAAAGGCAAAAAAGTCCCTTCGAAGGTGGTCATTCCAGACCTTCGTACAATCGTCTGTTCCTTACAACCTTTCAACTGGATAACTGTTCGGATTTTTACTTTGGAACTACTACAGTTCCTGGCACGCCCACACACTATTTTATTCCACCATCCACCATTCCACGCATTCTGGAGGGTGGAATCGACGCTTTCAAGCGAGCCGAACAATTCTTTTATGCTTTGTTTGGTACGAAGGATGGAAAAATGGGTGGAAGGGAGGACAGAGAAAATGGATGAGACATCTCTAAGAAAGGAAAAGTGGTGTCTCCCATTTCTTTCTTTCATAAAGAATAAGGATAAATGAACAAAAGAAAATTCAGCCAAAACAAAAGGTACTTCATGAAACATCTTCAGTGTCTTTTCAGGTTCTGAATTGTTTCTCATGAAACATAGCAAATCATTATATCATGAAATAAATGCAAACCACGCTATCAATTAATTTAATCTACAGACCAGCAGAGCAAAAATTGAGTAACATAAACTTAACAGGATTTATTGAATCTGAAACAGCAATGATGATTTACATGGGAGCTCGAAAAATACCTAGAGTAACTGAAACCTCTGTACAGTCTCACGATTTACACTGCCAAGAACGTTGAGTGGAAGAGATCGCTGGAGCAGGAGCCCATAACCTATGCATACCAAAGATGATATGTTATGTGTCTGACCACTATTAATCAATTTAAGGATATAGACGTTGAAAGACTAGTTAAGTAGCAATTTTACCAAATCACCCACTGTCATCTCGCCATTCATAATTCCTTGTGAACACAAAACAATAGCAGCTGAAAGAGCTGTGGTAAATATCACACTTTGGCCAAAGTTTAAAAAGGCAAGGCTACATTGCATTTTTTAAAGCAGCATCTTCATACCCTGAAAAAAAAACATCATCATCATCAAATATATATATATATATATTTGTCAGTGTGTCAAGAATTACAGAATATTAATTTGAATTATACATTATATTAAAGTGAAGAAGAATACTAAAAAAAGGTCTTAAGTCTTAACCCATGATGGAAAACCATAACAATGACAATCTCTATCCAAAATATCATTCCACTAATCCTATCTGGTTGGTTAGGTGACAAAACCCACTCAATTTGATTACATAAGCATGTATCAGCACATGGATCTGCATCTATGCACATTAGAAAACAACAATTGCAGCAAGTTCAGCAACAACCTTATCTAAACCACTTAACGTTGACTACATAATTCCTGTTTTGCAATTCATCTAATATTTAGTATGCAATTCCTATTCCACCATTCAGCCATAGTTAATCATGGTGAGCAACTTCTATAGACACTAAACAACTTACACTTTAAGATCTCATCATATTTTTCAGCTTCGTAACTCTCATTGTTGAAATATTTAACAATCTGAAAATGAAAGAACCTTAGTTCTCGTGGGATTCAGTCCCCTTTTGATCGCTTTTTATACAATCTTACTTATCAAAAAAAGAAGGAAAGAACCAGAAAGAATAGGAGAGGACAAGGAAAATAGAGCAATCAATGTCACATGAAAAGAAAGATATTCATGGAAGATAAACAAATACTTCCCCTCATAATTGATGAGTGAATCAATTGCCCTTCTACTTGCATCATTATCAGGTTTGTTCATGGCCTTCCTAAACTTAGTCCTCCACTGGAGAAGATATATGGAGGGAAAGGCTCGGGGTAATGTATAACAGCACAATTTCCACCAACTTAAGAGGACAAAGTAAACATAAATAAATAATATAAAAATTTAAACCGTATGGTGGTACTTCTTCACCTTTTGAAGTAGAAGGTCAAGAGTTCAAGCCCACATAGAGGGGCATACGGATTCGACGAACCAAGAATTCCATGAGGATATAATCATTGTGAAATCCATATACCATCCTCAAAATCGTGGGCTCCTTAGTTGACTTCTCATATGCCAATCCTAATATTTAGCCTTGTAATTTTATTCTTGTGGCCTTTCTAAGTTAAAGCCTGCTGTGGTCCAGATTTCAATATCAAACAGACACATAAGCCCATTTAAATTTCCTAAATGAACAATTATATCAATTTTTTCCCCATATTCTCTTCAACAAAATAGATCTGATTCATCGTACCGTTGACTGCTCTTGTATTTCAGGCCATTTGGCTCCCCTAACTAGTAAGGATTCAATGCTTTTTTGCCCCGGTAAGGTAAATTGTAAATAAGGATTTGATCTTGCTTTGTTTTTAATTGTATTCTTCTCCTTTTTTGTGTGTGCCTGTTTCTTTGCTATGACAGGTACCAACAGGGAGAGAAGTCCACCTCAAACACAACTTCAGGCCAATCAGTGGCTCTTTCCTCCCAAAATATCCAAATTCAGTTAGTTAGTTTCAGACCAACTAATCTTTTATCCACCTCCCCTCCATCAAAAAAAAAAAAAGAAGGGTCCTGTCTTAGACTTTGTCAAATAGTATTTGAATACTGAATAATAAAAATGAATAAATAAATAAAATCCTATGTAAGTTGAATAAAATTATGTTATGTTACAAAAATGATGAATGTTGAGTGATAATTTGAACTGTTTCCGTCTTATCATTTAAGATAAACGCAAATTGCAACAGGTCTGTAGCGTAGCGGTACCAAACTCCTACTTCTCAAAGGGAGGTCAGGAGTTCGAACCCCAGTGGAGGAAGTGTGTGTGCGTTTTCCAACTAGGAAAAAAAAAAAAAAATTGCAATGTGCTGACATAGGTTTTTTTCGGAAATTGCAAAGTATAACCCCTACCCATCCACCCCACAGAGAGCAAAAAGAAACAAAAGAAGGAAAATGATCTGCAGAGGATGGATGTACCTGGGTTACGCTCAACGTGAATATAGAAGTGAATGAGAAGTGATCCATGCAAATGATGCTCCAAATTTGTATGCCAGTATAGCTGATACCGTGGATATCTAGAAGGACACAAGTTAAAATGTAGAACTTATATTCAGGAAGAGGGAAATGTGATCATAAAAAAATATTGAGCTAAAAACTATAGCGCGAGCAGGAAATTAAGAGCCCATATCACCGACACTACAACTCTTTCTCTAGGATGGCAAAATGCAGAAGTAATAGAATCCAGGACAGCTTCTCTTTTGTATATGTACGCACACACACTTAGGGATGGCAACGGGGCAGGTTTGGGTACCCCTGCCCCGATTAATTTTCCCCGCCCCATCTCCATCCAAAACTGATTAAACGGGGTACCCTCCCACCCCATTCCCGCCCCTATTTAGGTTTCCCCGCCCCACCCCAGTTAAACACTCACTTAAATTTTCCCCCAGTGTTTTTTATTTTGGTCAAATACACTTTCATTTGAATCATTCCAATATAATAGAACCCCAAATTGATACATAAAATAAGCTAATCTTTCTACAAAGGATGAAGAAATGGCTGAAGAGTGAAAACAAAAGATTTAGGGTTCCATTATTGTAGTATTACATATATATATATATATATATAGGAAATTAATTTAATTAGCAACCTAAATGGAGCGGTGCGGGGCACTCTTCTCCGCCCCTGCCCCGAACCTGCGTGGGTTGTCTCCCCTCAAACCCATCCCCGCCCAAATTCCATAAACGGCCCCCAAACCAGTTTAAACGGGGCGGGTACCGGCCCCGCGAAGTAAATTGCCATTCATAACACACTACACATTATGCCAATTAAAAACAATAAATGCTAGAGATTCATATCTCTAAGAAGGTGGTTACAACGCTGAATAGCATGGATGAAAGAATAAAATTTATTGCACGGCTACCACCATCTAATTCGATTTAAAGCACCTGTTTCTCGACTGCAAATATAATGACCAACATAAAACAGAAAACCAGTTATGCAATTTACCTCTTAAGAACAAATATACTATATTAAAAAAGTGACTGCTATTGTAATCAAAACCATTGAAAACAGGATGTGGATCATTATAAAAGAGTAGCGCACATCCTGTTTTCACCAATGTGGGTGTGCAAAACTTGAATATCTTAATCCGAGTGATAATTTATATCCAAATGCATGTAACTTTTCACTTCAGTGGTAATAAATTTCTGTATAATGTATTCCGCTAAGATTTCATAAACTCTCCCCAATTTTAACAACATACTAAGAAAGCTGGTTTCTCTAGAATCAATGTATTCCAGGCTCGGGCATTACCCTTATTGCATTCATTAACATTCACATTCATTTCATTGACTTTGCATTTTATTTTCTGTGAACGGCCGGCCGATAGAATAGTGTTTGGCTTCTGAAGTTTGGTTTGTATCTTGAACCAGCATAAACAAACTATTACTGCACATAGGCCAATCCCTTGAAACTTTGTTTTTGTTAATTTTTCATATAATAATTCACTCCACATTAGTTTATGTTCATTTTGTTCACAATTCTCTATATTGGTTTCATTTTAAAATTCTCTAATGTTATGACGAGAGCAAATAATTTGATTGTCATTTTCAAGTTCTACCTCTTTTTGGTAGACGTTGATGATTTCTTCATAATTGTGGGCAATTTTAGTTCCGGTAGATGCAACTGCGACCCATTCTTTGATTTCTCCCTAATCTTTTTAGGTTTACTATTGCATATAATAAAATGAAAGCAGGCTTTGTTTAAGTTCCCTGATTTCTTCCTAATTGTTCAAACTCAGTCTAAGTTTTTGTCGCATCTAACTCCAAACGTGGCTCTCTCACGAGTCTTTGCCTATAAGAGAGTGAACCAGTTACATGAAACCTTAAACAAAACTAGGCATGATGACATCTAGATGGTGTTATATTTTTCGTACTCATATCCGCTTTCTTTGTTTGTTTCCATTGAAGATCACATCATCTTCAACTAGACCAGAAACAGAAGCACTTCTCTAATGGAAGAACAACTTATCTTCGTCTTCTTCCCTTGATTAATGGTCAGTTGGCAATGTCATAAACATTTGCAACTGGCCTGGCATCTAACTTGTTAGAAACTCCAGACTGGTCAAAATTCTCAGCTATGCCCTCGTTCACATATCTTAGCTTTTCTGTAAATCGACTTACCTTGGAATTCCCAGATTTCATATCTAGTTGCATTGTTGCAAGAACTTGATACAACTCAGGTTGGCTCAAAATAATTTCACTGGCATAATACCTGAATGGGTGTTCACCAATTTAAGCGAGCTTGAAATTCTTGGTCTCAGCATAAATTCTTTTCCTGGGCCACTGCCATTGAATTTTTAGAAGCTTTCCAAGCTAAAATTCTGTTACTATAGAAGAACATATAGTTTCACAGGCCCAATAACTTCTGAGCTTGGCCTACGTACCGATCTCACCATCTTGGATCTGGGCTACAATTCATTGGCTGGGGCCTTGCCTTTGTCGTTGTCCAATCTTTCCACAATGTTTGGGCAGTGAGCTCGTATTGCTAGATTTGCGAATGCTTTCATGGTTCAATTCCAGCCAATTTCTCAAAGCGCAACAATTTGAGGAGTCTCGGCTTGAATAGTAATCAATTAGAAGGGTTGGTTCCACGGGTACGGGTACGGGTACACTCATCTCTTAACGGGGCAAGTATGAATTGTGAAATTAAAATCCGTTATAAATATGAAGTGAGTATGAATTTGTCCATGCTTAACCGGGATGGGTACGAATTTAAACAAACCCGCTCCATACCCATCCTATTGCCATTCCTAATTATAATTCACATAACGTGTTACAAGTCTCCAATGAAATCTTCGAATACCTAATTATAGTAGGTCGGTGATGCAATTAGGATGGTTTGAGTATATCATATATGTCATTTACACTCACTAAGTTACTTTATCACATAATATGAGGAAAATAAATATTTAATTTGATGTTAGTTGCTGAATTATAAATATAAAATGTTGTGAAAATACATATTCTATGGAAGTGGAGGGAAAGCCTTGCATTTATAACTTGTAACAAAATGATGCATAAGTAAAATTGCGTACAAAATGATTCATTGGCTGGGGCCTTGCCTTTGTCGTTGTCCAATCTTTCCACAATGTTTGGGCAGTGAGCTCGTATTGCTAGATTTGCGAATGCTTTCATGGTTCAATTCCAGCCAATTTCTCAAAGCGCAACAATTTGAGGAGTCTCGGCTTGAATAGTAATCAATTAGAAGGGTTGGTTCCACGGGTACGGGTACGGGTACACTCATCTCTTAACGGGGCAAGTATGAATTGTGAAATTAAAATCCGTTATAAATATGAAGTGGGTATGAATTTGTCCATGCTTAACCGGGATGGGTACGAATTTAAACAAACCCGCTCCATACCCATCCCATTGCCATTTCTAATTATAATTCACATAACGTGTTACAAGTCTCCAATGAAATCTTCGAATACCTAATTATAGTAGGTCGGTGATGCAATTAGGATGGTTTGAGTATATCATATATGTCATTTACACTCACTAAGTTACTTTATCACATAATATGAGGAAAATAAATATTTAATTTGATGTTAGTTGCTGAATTATAAATATAAAATGTTGTGAAAATACATATTCTATGGAAGTGGAGGGAAAGCCTTGCATTTATAACTTGTAACAAAATGATGCATAAGTAAAATTGCGTACAAAATGATTCATTGGCTGGGGCCTTGCCTTTGTCGTTGTCCAATCTTTCCACAATGTTTGGGCAGTGAGCTCGTATTGCTAGATTTGCGAATGCTTTCATGGTTCAATTCCAGCCAATTTCTCAAAGCGCAACAATTTGAGGAGTCTCGGCTTGAATAGTAATCAATTAGAAGGGTTGGTTCCACGGGTACGGGTACGGGTACACTCATCTCTTAACGGGGCAAGTATGAATTGTGAAATTAAAATCCGTTATAAATATGAAGTGGGTATGAATTTGTCCATGCTTAACCGGGATGGGTACGAATTTAAACAAACCCGCTCCATACCCATCCCATTGCCATTCCTAATTATAATTCACATAACGTGTTACAAGTCTCCAATGAAATCTTCGAATACCTAATTATAGTAGGCCGGTGATGCAATTAGGATGGTTTGAGTATATCATATATGTCATTTACACTCACTAAGTTACTTTATCACATAATATGAGGAAAATAAATATTTAATTTGATGTTAGTTGCTGAATTATAAATATAAAATGTTGTGAAAATACATATTCTATGGAAGTGGAGGGAAAGCCTTGCATTTATAACTTGTAACAAAATGATGCATAAGTAAAATTGCGTACAAAATGATTCATTGGCTGGGGCCTTGCCTTTGTCGTTGTCCAATCTTTCCACAATGTTTGGGCAGTGAGCTCGTATTGCTAGATTTGCGAATGCTTTCATGGTTCAATTCCAGCCAATTTCTCAAAGCGCAACAATTTGAGGAGTCTCGGCTTGAATAGTAATCAATTAGAAGGGTTGGTTCCACGGGTACGGGTACAGGTACACTCATCTCTTAACGGGGCAAGTATGAATTGTGAAATTAAAATCCGTTATAAATATGGAGTGGGTATGAATTTGTCCATGCTTAACCTGGATGGGTACGAATTTAAACAAACCCGCTCCATACCCATCCCATTGCCATTCCTAATTATAATTCACATAACGCGTTACAAGTCTCTAATGAAATCTTCGAATACCTAATTATAGTAGGTCGGTGATGCAATTAGGATGGTTTGAGTATATCATATATGTCATTTACACTCACTAAGTTACTTTATCACATAATATGAGGAAAATAAATATTCAATTTGATGTTAGTTGCTGAATTATAAATATAAAATGTTGTGAAAATACATATTCTATGGAAATGGAGGGAAAGCCTTGCATTTATAACTTGTAACAAAATGATGCATAAGTAAAATTGCGTACATGTGACACCCCTTACATGTGACACCCCTTAGATCATGCATTGGCGAAAATTTTGTGCACTAAATTAGTCTTTCTTTTACTGCCAAAAGAATAAAATGAGTCAAACTACCAATAATGCAAATAAAAAGTTTTATATTTTATTTTAAATGGAGTGTACCACTCGGTGATATGGATTATACTTAACAAATTGATTGGCATTCAACATGACAGAAACATTAAATGGTTTGAATCAAACACAAAACAACAAAGTTTTCATTGTAGCAAGTGTTTTCTATTTCACAAGTTCACAAACACCATTCTTAATTTAAGTTGTGCATACACACACACCCTTGGGCCCACTCTTTGACATCTTTTTAGCTCTGGGCTCAGGCCCACACTTCTAACCACCATATCCTTACCCCTATAAGATCTTTGTATATATGCGTGTGTAATATACACACACACAAAAAAACACACACATACAGATATTACAAATAAATTTATTGAGGTCAGTGTGGTGTGGTGGGTAGTAAATTCAAGAACAAGGAAATTGCTATTGCTATCCAAATGAGGGAAAGTTAGTTGGGCCTGGGAGAGATTAACAATTTAAGATCTTAAAACAGATAAAGATTAATAAAATGTTAGAGCCAAAAATCTCAATTTTAAACTGTCACCTTTGTAATTAAATTGACAAAGTTTTACATGTGTTTACGGAGCTTTTTCTCATCAACATACACTTGATCAATAGGATTCTTCAGCTTAATATGCAATAGGGAACAATACAGTACAGTTCAACTATCAACAAAACATGCAAAACAGCTTGACAACTTTTTGTGTTAACCTTCACACTGTTAGTTGATAGTTACTGCCATAAAAAAATTATATTACTGTTGCGATTGTCATTAGTGTAATGAGATTACAAAGTTACCCCTCTAAATCATTAATCTTGCGATTGTCACTAGCGTAAAGAGTGGGTTCTCTCTTACTCCCAAAATAGAGGCTTTGGAAGTAGGAATACATTTGAAGTTGAGTGGAGAAAGTAGTTAAAGAAAAAGAATGGATGAGTCAGTGAGTGAGAAGAGAGGAGACTGGGTGAGAGTAGAGAGATGCAAAATAAATGGATGGGCATCCTCTACAATTGTATATGTCTTGATTCATTACAGTGAAATTTCTTATCTCCATAGTAGTAGGTCCAGCTCGGCCAAACCACATAAAATATTGTGGGTTGCACGTTGTTTGTTTTTGTTTATTAAGAATAGTTGATAGACGATAAATGAGGTGTGTCAAGTGTCGAGCACACCTTTTTCTCGTTTAAATCACAACAAATAATGTATATGTATATAAATATGTGTGTGTGTCAATATGGTTCTAATATATATGTTGTAGCTATCAAGGATTACAATGATTAATACATCTTTTACAATTTTTAAATTTTTAAAAGCAGCGATAAATGAGGTGCGTCAAGTCTCGAGCATGCTTTTCTTCTCCTTTAAATCATAAAAAGTAATGTATATGTATATGAAGCATAAAAAGCAATGTATATGAATATGAATATATGTGTGTGTGTGCGTGTGTTTGAATAGAGTTCTAATAAATATGTTGTAACTACATTTAGACTTTTAAAAGCAACACTAAAAGGGTTCATTCAAACCATCTTTAATAACCATAAAAAGGAAATTTTGAGGGGGCCAACTTTAATTTTTCTATACAAAAATACCATTAATAAACATAAATCAATACCATCAATAGAGTTTTAAATAAAAAATTCCCTCCGACCCTGACGTCATCATTGAGGAAAAACCTGTAGAAACGAGAATCAAAATAAAAATATAAATGCACAGTTCCATTCTCTCTAAGTCCATAGAAGTAGTTTATCAAAAAAGAAGAGCTGAAAATAATAAGTGCCAAATGCAAATTAATTTTTTTTTTTAAATTTCTTTTCCAATGATTAGTGTTCAATGCTAAATGAAATGTTCTCGCTTAAAAGATTACTTCATTTTAAGTTCTAAACTACGATGAAGATGTTTGTTTCAGAGGCTGTTTTAGTGACAGTTTATGAAGATATTGATAAACTCTTGCAGCATCATGGGGAGACAGTGCTGCAATGGATGTAGAGTGTGTAACAGGGTAGTTCATGCTCTTTGGATAAAGAGTTTTGGGGGAGTGTCATATGCTGGTGGAGTGGGATGTGATTCCTACTTGGTTGTTAAATGTGGAGAATGATGAATGTAATGTTGCTTATGATTAATATAAAGTTTTATATTGCAAGTGGAAAAAATCACAGTATCAAGCGCACAAACAGCACCTTACTTCAAGAAGCAAACATGCAGCACCAGAGTACCAATACTAACTAAATTATAGTAATACTGTATTGCAGGTCATGAACATTTATACACATATACATATATATATATATATATATTCTAGAAAAAAGCTATAATATGGGTCTCCTTTTGACAAGGGCAGTAAGCTCTGTCTATTGATCATTGTATTGACCTTTTGTCTATCGTTTCACAAATTTTGAGATACTTACCAAGGGAAAGCTCATGGCCCTTGCCAAGAGGGAGCCCTCTTGATAAGAATATGAATTAAAAAGATAGTTACAATTTCCCACTCATATCCAGATTAGTAGTTCTAAATGCTTGGCTAGGAATCCAACAACATAACCCAAAAATATATTCTTGGAAACTCGTGGCTGATCCCTCATAACAGGTTTTAAAAAGATATAATGGCATCAAAAGATGAGCAATATTATCAGCATAACATCTACAACCTATATCAACGCGTAAATTCTCCATGCATCATGATTCAGTTAAATCTTCCCAAAGGAAGTTCTAAACTACATCAATATACAATTTATACACTCTAAATAGAGTCAACCTAACTAGAAGCAGGGATAGAGATTACATGCCATTTCTACTCTTTCGAAAGTTCACCTCTCATCATTTCCGTATTTTGGCTTTCCAGACCAGCCACGTTGTGACCTTGAAAGAAAAATCTACCATTTCAGGCATGAAAAGAAATCAAGATTTAGTATAATAAGAGTTGTTCCACTAGAGATGCTAAAAATTAAACAGTAATTGACCATAAAGGTTTTAAGTTTATGCTACCTAGCTACTAGAGAAATCTTGACAGAGACAGTATTAAAATGCTAGGTTGAGCTTTGACATTCTAATGTAGCAATAACAGAAGTTAGCAATAGATAAATATAAGATATAAAGATTAATGAGATTATGAACCTTGCTTGATGCTATTACCTCCTTTGCTTTTCGACTCTCTTTCTCGGATTTTTTATCAGCTTCACTGTCTTCTCCATGCAAAACAGGTGGTTTCACCCATGTAAAACTAGGCTCTCCGTGTAAGCATTTGCATTAAACGAGTCCTTATACCATGAATCTCTAGAGCCACAAATTTTGAGATTCCAAAGTCCTCGCTGGCCTTCGAAATCACAAGATGCCAAATATCCCTTGTCAGTAGAACAACTACGCTTTGGTAAAATTTGCTCACATCAATATTGAAATGTTTAGTCCAAGTTGTCGCTATGCCATACTCTAGCATTACTCACTGCATTATGATAATTGAATGTTTGATGAATATACAAAGCTCCAGCTTTCACTTTGCAATCTATTATTTTAGGATAATCGTAATGGGGTTATATGCCTCTCGGACAATCACTTTGCTATTACCAATGACTTTTATCTATGGAACCCATTGATTCAAAAGTTGATGGCCCTTCCACCGGTTCGTGTCACATTTCAGTCACATGGTCCATTTATGTATAACATTGGGTTTGGGCTTGATCCATTGACGAATGATTTTAAGGTCATACAGATTGTGCATCTAAATTATGTGGTCCGCTAAGTCTTCATGTAGCTAAGTTCCTAGAATAACTTTCTATAACATAGATCCAGATGAATTATCATTGGAGTACCATTGGAAACTATTATTGTGTATGGGTGATGAAAGAGTATGGTGTAGCAATGTCTTGGACTAAAGAATTCAATATTGATTCCGGCAAATATTCCTTATTTTAGCCGCATCTTGGACAAGCATCCCATTCTTTTCAATGGACGTACTGCTCACAGAAAAGACAGAAACCTATTTTCTCATAACAAATAAGGAATTACCACTGTTTTAGAAAGAAAACCTCAGATCTACAGGCTTTAGTAAATGACCACTAGAAAATTTCAAAATACATTCATTATATTAATGATTAATGAACAAACAGAATCCTATTTTCTCATAATAAATAAAAAATTACCACTGTTTTAGAAAGAAAACAGTGATCTGCAGGCTTTAGTGGATGACCACTAGAAAAAAAATGGAGAGAATATATAAACACTAGCTATAGTTATCAATTATAAAACTTACCAAAACCCTTTTTCATAATACATTGTGTCAATGAATAAACAAAACTACAATAGCATCGAATCAATGAAATCAAAAAATTAAATGATATACATCAATTTAAATCGATATAAATCAGTGGCATGCATGAGAGAAAGATTGGATCACGAACATATATGTATATATGGAGAGAGATAGAGAGGTAGAGAGGTGTAACTCACCGGAAAAAATGAAGATGGCGAATATTGTTGATGACGAACTGCCGGCTGTGAGGACATCGTTCGATTTGGGGTCTATACTTCTTTCATCGCACTCACCGACATGTGCAGAAACGATTGACCCCGACTCAAACTATCACCGTTGGATGATGCTTTAAAAATGAAAACCAATTCACTTTTCGACCAGGACAATAATTGCCGAGTCACGGCTGAGTAATAATTGCCCGTTGTGGAGGAAGTTTATACAGTATTTACCATATGTAGCCGAACAAACTTTAGTATTTACCATATGTAGCCAAGTAATAATTGCGTGGTGGATAGGAAGTTAATATTTACCATCTTTGTGGCCAAGTAATAATTGCGTGGTGGATAAGAAGTAGGGATAGCAATGGGGCGGGTTTGGAGCGGGTTTCTCTAAATCCCGTCCCACCCCTTTTAATATCCATACCCGCTCCGAGACTCGCGACGGGTTGGAATTTCATGTCCAGCCCCGTCCCGTTAGGAAATACTGTGCCCCCGTGCCTGCCCCACTAACAAATTTTTTTCTCTCACTTTTTGGAACTTAAGCTACTGCTATATGTGGAAAGACTGGGAATGGCACAATATAAATGAAATTATGTATCGCAACAAAAATAAAAAAATAACATGCACATAACATAATTCAGAGAACATAATAAACAAAAATAAAAATTTAATACAACTAAATCACAAGAAGTTCTAAGCTCTAACTTCCACTATAACAAAAACAAAAATAAATTTAATACCAAGTTTACATCAACAAATTTAATACCAAGTTTACATCCCAAATTAGGATTGTAAGAGATGAATAACTGGGTAAGTCGCTAAAATAAGTTATATATATATATATATATATATATATTAAATATAGTTATATGCTTAACGGGGCGGGGCTCCTAGGATATGTATACTGAACCCTTACCCGCCCCGTGATTCTCGACGGATACAAAATTTGTATCCATACCCGCTCCAACGGTATAAAAAGTATTCCCATATCCGTTATTAACGGGACGGGGCGGTAAAAATTGACATCCCTAATAGGAAGTTAATATTTACCATCTTTGTGGCCAAGTAATAATTGCTTGGTGAATAGGAAGTTAATACTTTTACCATCTCAGTAGCCAAGTAATAATTGTCTGGTGGATGGGAAGTTAATATTTGTCTTGTAATATATTTTCTCTAGGCTTATATTAAGATCTGAGGCAATAAGGAGGTTGTGTAATTATTTTTTTTTATTTTTTATTTTTTTTATTGGGTTGAAGAGTAGAGAAGATAATAAATAATTTATTATATTAGTTAAGAGAAAAGAAATTAATATTTTTTTTATTATTTTTACTATTATATTTAATAATATTTATAATATTATATTCCTTCCGTCCTATAAAAAGTGTTACTTTTTAGAAACCGTGACTCTCACAAATTAAACTAACACGGTTCTTTTTTTGGGACGGAGGTAGTAATTTATAGAGAATAACACTGTAATTTAAAATTTAAAATAATATTTAATTTAAAATTTTTATAATAGTTCACTTATCTTTTTTCCTCTCTATTCTTTCGCCTATTTTTCATTTTTAAACGGATAAAAATTTATAAATGGTAAAACAAGGGTTTTGTATTGAATTTCGCGTAGAAAATCATATGCTATGGTGATATGATCTTCACAGTAATTAGGATAATCCATAATTAGTGAAGTGATGAAAAGTCTTTTCTCATCGCATATCTTTTTTAGTGGAGGAGCTTCATAGGTTCCGTTTAAGGCTCTGCGTGCTTTATCTCGGAGATGAATGAAGCTATGGACAACAAGATAGTAGGGATCTACTTTTGTTGCCATTTCTTGAGAGTTCAGAATTGGGTTGTGTTCGAACTCGTCGTTATCAGTTAACTTGAGATACCAAATTTGATATGGTTGAAAAAAAATTGTCATTTCACGCCATCCGATGGTGCTGGAAATCCAAAAGTCAAGCTGCGACAGACCTTCTAGTGAGCAATAACTTTATAGATCATGGCTTTGATCATTACGGGAAAATCTTGCCATGAGGTACAGTCATGAGAGGTGAATGTAATTTTGTTGACAACACCCCAATCAATTGGTTCCATTGACCAAGGAAAACCGGGTACAATGAACAAAGTTAACTTTGGAATATTTTTTCCATTATATATCATGTCGAAAGTATTAATTTCTTCATGACTTTCTAAATAGAAGTTTTTTATTGTTATAGAATGATACACTGTTTTGGAGAGGATTATTCTCGAAATTTCAGGAGGAAAATTGTTTCTTGTTTTTCCAAGAAGACAAATACGATTGATTTTAGCAAATGTATTTTGAGGGAAATCTTGTTCTCCCACTAATTGGGCAAGTCTTAAAAAACAATTTATTTGATCATCTGAAAAATCTTTTTCCCAATCAATGGTAAGACAGATTTGAATACAAAGCTTTTTAAACTCTGCAGTCATAGCTGTTTCTTCAGCGATGAATGTAGTAAGATTACTCAGATGTTGCCTGAATTTCTTATTGCATTCTAGTTTATGCATTTTCCATACATTATTAATTTCTTCATAAAACTTGTATGGAAGTCTAGGATTATAGAAGTCGGTTACCTCTATAGGTTCCTTTAAACGTTGATGGAATTTATAAAAACTTTGTGAGGCTTTACCCACATTGTAGAAAGCTGTTTGGGCTTCTTCATATGTGTCATAAGCCTTGAAGCAAGGATTGGTGAAGCCTTTCAACTGATTGTGGCAGTCAAACCAGCTTTAATAAATTCCGGGTTGGTGGCCAGCATATACCACAAACCATTTGTGTGGCTGTGATGAAGTTGGTTTGGAACTTAGTGCCTTTTTAGCAACCGTTATCCATTCGTTGGGAGAAAGTTGATTACCTCGATCATCCATCTGTAAAAAAAAGAAACATCTCGGTTAGAGAGTTTATTATCAGAGTTTGCGGTATAATTTCTGCTGAGAAAATCTGCAAGAAAATTGTTAGTGCCTTTGACATGCTCTATTTCAAAATAATATTGGACAATAACATTATACCATTTTAATCGTCTTCCTTCTAAACAATTCTTTTTATTTATAAGAAAGTCTTTTACTGCTTGGTTATCAGTACGGATAATAAAATCTTCTGGAACGAGATAAATGTGAAAACGTTTTATTGCTAATTTTATCACCAGAAGTTCTTTTTCATAAATAATATAATTCTGTTCATTAGGTTTAAATTTTCCAAAATTATATCCACAAACCAATTATTCTTTTTGAAGGATTTTTGGGATCTGAGTTTTTCGGGCTTGGATCTGATGATTTGTAAAAACATGCTCGTTCCATTTTCTAATGGAATAGCTTTCAAAACACATCCCCAACAAAGATCTGAGGCGTCATTTTCAAAGATAAGTTTATCACCGTTTTAGAGAAAATAAACTTCAAGGATATGGACAAGATCGCTTTTGATTTGTTGGACAACAACTTTTTTGTCGTTTTCAGTCTATTCAAAAACTTTATCTTTTTGTAACTTCTTTATTAAAGGGAGTTCTTTTTAAGACAAGCCTTTAATAAAGTTACGGCCATAATTCAAGATTTCTAAAAAACTTTGAAGCTGTTTTTTATCTTGAATCACATCGGGAAAATCACGAATTTTACCTAGTTTGGTCTTCTTTTAATCAAGCACTCTCCGGTATTGATCTGAGGATGGACCGGTGATGAATCCGCCGTAGGAGAAGTGCAGAAGAAAGAGTTAAGGGTAAAAAGGTTTAACAAATTTTCAAGAATAATAATGTATTTGAGATAATGGAGAGTAATTTAGGTATTTTATTTTATTATTTTAAAAGGAGGGAATGTGAGAGCTAATTAAATCAAATCTCATGGGTTTAATATGAGAGTGATAAATTAAAATATCAAAGATTGTGAGAGCATTTAATCCTAATATTTAATATTAAATATTCATCATCATTGTTGACCACTTATTATATTTTGACATCATCATTTTTTTTTTTAATATCTTTGTCGGCGTCGACCATTTATTATATTTAACCCTAATATTTGATATTAAATATTCATCATATTTATTATATTTTGAAAGGAGGGGATTGTATTTGCACTCTACAAAAAAATCTCCTAATATTTCGGTCTTCACTATACAAGTATATCATATAAGACTAATGTTATTGGGTTAATGTAAAATATCTCTGTATATTGCTCATCTTCTCTTTGTATTTGTTAGTCAAAGTATTTTTTTTATTATTATTATTTTAAAAGGAACGGGGAATTGTATGACACTTTGTGGATTGTAAGAAATTAAGAATCCCCTCCTTTCAAAATATAAAAAATATTTAATATCATATACTTGTATATTAAATTTCTATATCCTTCAAAAAAAAAAAAAGTCTCTATCCTTTCACTTCCCATTGCTCTAAGAGAAGGACTTATGTGATGTCAGCGGAGGTGGCTGCCCCCACTAAACGCTCAATTTATTTATATTGTGTACCTAAAATTTCGATGAAATTGTAATAACGCCTTACTAAATATTTGGTAAAATACCGTTTACATTATGGTCACCCCCACTAAACTTTTCTTTATTTATATATACTATATCTAAAAAAATCTAACATGTTAGCATGATAATAATCGCAATGGAAGCACCATTCGAAAAAAATAATAATAATCAAAATGAAAGTAATTACGAAAAAAAAAAAAAAAATTAATTGAAATGAAAGTATGAGCAAATTTTAATTCAAATATCAATTGAAGTTAAAGTTGGTATTCTGAAATTTTTTATTTTACTGTGTTCAAGACCGCCCTCTCTCAAAATTGAACCTCGATCCGTCATTGTTAGTACTCATAACGAATGTTTTATTTATTTATTATTATTTTTTTATTGTAGAAAAAAAGAAATAGTGAAGCGTGTGAGAATTTGTGGATTGCAAAAATCCCATTTTTTTCCCAGAAATTTTTAAATATTTTGTATGATATTCTTGTATAGTAAATATTTTATCCTTTTAGTTGAAAAAAAAAAAAAATACAATCTATATTCTTTAACTTTCCATTACCTAAAAAGCTCAGAAAGAAATAGAAGAATGCTATTCACATCTGATGGTCTAGCCGAAAATTTTAATTATTCAACACATCCAA